CCCCCGGCGGGCCCTGACCCCGGGGGACTGCCCCCCCCCGAGTGACTGCAGGGGGGGGGGGGGATTTGGTCCGTCGGCGAAGGGCTTGGGGGGCAGAAGGGAAAGTTGAGGGGCTGAGCGTTACTGTGACGTCCGTGTCTCTGGGCTGCCCCTTCCCCCGCCCTCGCCCCGGCCTGAGCAGGGCCCTGCTGCATGCGGGTTTGGTGTGTCTATGGTGCCGCATCATCACCGTGGTCTTTTCTCCCCTGTCTCCACAGGACAGAACCTGGGTGTGGACAGATGGCTCCCTCTTTCGCTATGATTCTTGGAATCCTGGGGAACCAAACAACAGGGGAGGCAGGGAGTTCTGTGTCGAGGTGTGGGCTCACACCGGTAAGCAAAGTCTCAAACACACCTGCTCCAGCAAAGGAGCCCCATCAGGACCCTGCGTGCACCACACAGCCCGCTGAGGGCCTGGCCTCCTGTCCCGTCTCCCTGCCTCTCCCCCGGCTCCCCCAGCTGATCTCTGTGACACAGGAAATGTCTGTTTCCATGGTAGCATCTCTAAGGTCCAAGTACCCACATCCAACTAGTCTTCCCTCTAATTCACCGTCCATGTGCCTCCCAGCCCTGGCCGGTCCTACTTGTCACTGGCCAACTGCTCCCACACGCCCGGACAAGTTCACGCCCAGCCGTTTGGCCTGGGATTGTTTAACCCCTTTCTGGCCACGGCTCACACGTCCGGGAGAGGGGCTGTTCTAATCCCATCACTTCACATCAACAAGTGCCACACGGCTGCCAAAAACAGAAAACCTCCTTCTGGGCGGCATGAACCGGAGTGTTGGGAGCCAGACCCGAGAAGCGATTCTTCTGCTCTGCTCTGCCCCACATTGGCCTCAGCTGGAATAGTGTGTCCAGTTCTGGCACCACATTGCAGGGAAAATATGGACAAACTGACTATAAATCCCCCTACCTGTGCAAGTACAGACTCTAGTGATGGGGCCACTTGCCTGGGTCCGACAGGTCACTCAGCGCCTGGGCTGCAAAGAACCGGGCCCCTGGGGCATGATCACGCACCATCCCAGACTTTCGGCTGCTTTGCTGCATCCAGGGCCTGTCCTGCCCCTCTCTGAGTGACCGGCTCTCAGGTCCCCAGCTGCAAACTGCCTCCCCCCAGTGTCTCTCTGCTAGTTACACCCCTGCCCCCTCTACAGCTGCAGCCGCTACAGCAATAAACTCTCCTGAGCATGCAGGTCTGAGTGTGTCTCCTCTGTCCCATGCCTGGCCCCACGTAGATGGGTCCATCCAGCCCCCTCTGGGCCTGAGCAGCCCGGACCCCACGGGAGGGGAGGGAGGAGACCTCGGAGGGAGGCAGGATGGATCTGAGCTTAGGAGCAGGACTGGGTCTCCACCCAGAGCACTAATGGAGGCGTCGTTCGGCCGTGGGCTGAGAGCAGATCCATGTCAGCCCCCAACAACCGCGCCTGCTGGATACCGCATCCCCATGGACCCGTGCTCTGTGAGATCTCTCCGGTAGCCGGGTCAGAAGTTATGTCCCAGGCCACACGGGTCTGCACAGTTCAGCTTTTAAGCCGTATTTCAAGTGGAGGAATTGAGAGGATTTGTGGGAAGGAGTCTGGGGGCCACAGTCAGTCACTGGTGGGGAAAGTACCCAAAAAAGTCACTTGAGTAAAAGTACTGCTGCTTTGAAAAACATGTAACTCAGTAGAAGTCAAGGTATCCTCCTGGAAACTACTAGATTAAAAGTACAAAAGTATCACATCTCAATTGTACTCACGTATCAGAAGTAAAAAGTAGCCGTCCCATGGAAATCTGTGGGTAAGCTGTCTTGTCCCACGCTACTGGACGCTCTGCTGGTTGTGGGCCACCGCTCATAACAGCC